CCACTCACCTCAGCCTCCCAAAGGCGTGGGATGACAGGCTGAGCCACTGAGCCCGGCTGCTTTTTTCTGAACTCTATTATTTTTCATGTGTTGCCTTGCTTTTCTTAAGCCAATCTATACTGTATTGTACCTAACATAAACCTTTGATACAAGGACTTGACATAAAGCCTTGATCTAAATCCTACAGTTTTGGTCTTTTTCAACTGTCCCTTGGATATCATTAATCCTTTACCATTTTTATTTGTTTGTTTGTTTGTTTGTTTGTTTGTTTAGACAGAGTTTCACTCTCTTGACCAGACTGGAGTGCAGTGGCTTGACCATCGCTTACCACAGTCGCAACCTTCTGGACTCAGGTGATTTTTCTGCTTCAGTCTCTCAAGTAGCTGGGACTACAGGCACATGCCCAGCGGGACAGATGTGGAGGTGAAAGATAGTGATATCAATGATCCTGATTCTAGGTAGAACTAGAATAATGTGTGCATATATGTCTTAGTTTTTAAGAACAATTTTGAAAGTAAAAATATTTAAAAATAGAAAAAAGCTCACAGAATAAAAATATAAATGATTTGTACAACTATACATTGTGTTTCTGTTTTAAGATGTTAATACAAAAGTCAATAAGTTTTTAAAAATTATAAGTTCGCAACATTGTTCACAATAGCAAGAACCTAGAAGCAACTATGCTGCCCATCAAAAGAGGACTGGATTTAAAAAATGTGGTACATATACACGATGGAATCATGAATTTCGCAGCAACCTGGATGGAACAAGAGTTTATAATACTGAGTGACCTCTCACAGAAACAAAGATCTGAGTATCACATGTTCTCACTCATATAATGGACCTTGAACATCCAATGTAATACTATAAGAAAATGACTGATAGTAGTGGGAAACTATGGGTGGGGAGGGAGATGGGATCAACGGTAGCAAATATCTGACTGGGGACGAGGAAACACCTCTTATCAACAGGGTGCCTGAATGAACGTATTTGTATACCTAACCCTGAACTGTACCCCACAACATCATAATAAAAAATATTGATTAAAAAAAATTATGTTTATAAAGTACAAATGTTACAGTAAGCTAACTTACTATTGAAGAAAGAAAAATATTTTTATAAATGCAGCGTTGCCTAAATGTAAAGTAGTGTACAGTCCTTCACATTCACTCACCAGTTACTCACTGGCTCCCCCAGAGCAATTTCCAGTCCTACAAGTTCAATCCATGACAATTACTCTATACATGCCTACCATTTAAAAAATCTTTTATACCGCATTTTTACTGTTTCTTTTCTAAGTTTAGATACATAAGTATCATTATGTTACAATTGTCTCTACTATTCAGTACAGTAACAAACTGAACATGTTTGTAACCAAGAGCAATAGGTTATTCCACATGACCTAGGTGTATAGTAAGCTATACCAGCTAGGTTTGTGTACGTATACAAGACTCTACCATGCTCACACATTTCTCAAGATGGTTCCCCGTCTTTAACTGGCACATGACTGTATAAGAAAGTACACCAAAACTTTATCTTTTTCTGTAGATCCAATATTCTACTTTGGATGAATAATAGAACCGTACCTATTAGAAAAATATATTCTGTGCTGACAATTAAAAACAAAAGCTAGAGTTTGATAAAAACAAACACAGCCATGTGTCACTTAACAATGAGGATATATTCATTCTAACAAATGCATCACTAAGTGGTTTTATCATTGTGCAAACATGACCTCTTACTGGCCACATTAGTTGTAGATTTGGCTTAGGAGCCATAATGAACAAAATAACAAGAACAAGAGAAAATTATGCAATCAAGAGATTGCAGTTCATGCATCATGATGTAACAGAGCATGTTGTTTCACAGTAAACTTTTTTATAAGTAGAAAAAGTACACTATTTATTAAACCTCTATGAATTAGTTTGTAATATAGAAACACATGTTCTGTTGTAGCAGATAGCTATAAAGCTATATTTAAATGTAGAGTCTTAACTCTACTCCCAACTTATAATTTTCATTATATCTTCCCTGGTTTGTTTTCTAAAAAAAAGTAAAGCAAAAGAAATACACATGGGTAGTCAGGCTCCATGGCTCAGCCTGTAATCCTGAGCTTTGGGAGGCTGAGGAAAGTGGATTGCCTGAGCCCGCGGGTTCAAGACCCACCTGGGCAACTTGGCGAGACCTCATCTCTACAATAAATTTTAAAAATCAGCCAGGCGTGGTAGCACATGCCTGTAATTCTGGCTACTCGGAAGACTGAGGTGGAAGGATTGCCAGAGCCCAGCAGGTCGAGGCTACAGTGGCCGGGAGCTGCCACTTCACTCCAGTCTGCGCGACAGAGTGAGACTCCAACTCAAAAAAAAAAAAAAAAAGAAAGAAATACACATGGGTAATAAGTATCTATACACGTATACACACACACACACACACACACACACACACACACACACTCCCCACATAACCACACCTCAACAGCACCTTCAAATTGAGTATGAATGTTAATTTATTTTTCAGAGACACAGTCCCACTCTGTCACACAGGCTAGAGCACAGTGGTGCGATTATAACTCACTGTAACCTCAAAGCAATCCTCCTGCCTCAGCAATCCTTGGCCTCAAGCAATCCTCCGGCCTCAGCCTCTTGAGCAGCTAGGACTATAGGCATGAGCCACCATGGCCAGTTAGTTTTTTAATTTTTGTAGACCGAGGGTCTTGCTGTGTTGCCTGAGCTGGTCTGGAACTCCTGGCCTCAAGTGATCCTCTACTACAGTCTCTTGAAGTCCTGGGATTATAGGTGTGAGCCCTCATGCCTAGCCCCCAAAGCATTGCAAAGGCCTATTTATAACGTGTTTGCTTGCTTGTTTGTTTGTTTAGAGTCAGGGTCTCACTCTATCACCCTTGTTGGAGGGCAGTGGTAGATGTTCTGGGCTCTGCTATCCTTCCTCTTCAGCCTGCTGAGTAGCTGGAACTACATGTGCATGCCAACATGCCAGGCTAATTTTTAAAAATTTTTGTTAGACAAGGTCTTATTACATTGCCCAGGCTGGTCTCAAACTCCAGGATTCAAGGAATCTTCCCATCTTGGCTGGGATTCCTGGGTGAGCCACCATACCTGACTATGGTTTTTTAAGTAATATTTTTAGGCAGCAGAACATTAAGAAAGTATATAGGTGTTTTTTTGTGAAATCTTCATACCGCTTTCCATAGTGATCCAGCAGTCCCACTTGGTATCTACCCAAAGCAACAGAGATCATTATATAAAAAGACACCTGCACCCACATGTTCATCGCAGTACAATTCACAATTGCAAAGATGTGGAATCAGCCTAAATCCCCATCAGTGGATCAGTGGAAAATGAAAATGTGGTATATGTACACCATGGAGTGCAACACAGCTGTAAAAAATACGAAATCGTGTCCTTTGCCGCAACATGAGTGGAACTGGAGATCATCATCTGAAGTAAACTGACTCAGAGACAGAAAACCAAACACCACGTGTTTTCACTCATATGTGGGAGCTAAACAGTCACAAGGATGGAAATAATAGACACTGGGAACACTAATAAGGGGAGGGGCTCCAGATACTAAAAAGGGATAGGGTTCAGAAACTACCTATGGAGTGCCATGTTCACTGTCCAGGGAATGGGCCACCTGAGACCCAATTCCCACTGCTACTCCATGTGTCCACGTAACAAATATGCATGCATCCCCCAGATACATAGCTCATCTGAAATGATTGAACTTTAATTATCCTAGTAAAACCTATAAACCCTACATACATTAAAAACATTATCAGAAATGTTTTACAAGAAGGCATTTTATTAAGAAAACTCGGTTCACCAAAATTACATTTCTGCTATTTATGTAAACATCATGTGTGATGTTCCTCTTCTAAAAGTCGAGCACAGCGGTAAATCTTACAATCATTAAAAGAGCAACTCCTGTTTTTGCACTCTGAATCTCAAGTGTTCTGCAATCCTGCTGGTTCAAACAGAGAAGAGTTAAGAAATCAAGTAGAGTTTCACATAAAGACTAGTTTATAGATTTTCAAAATGTATGTTGATGTTAAGGAAGAAAAACATATAACAAGATATGAATGCTTCCTGCTTCATATTTTCTTCCGCCAGCCATGACCATGAATGGGGCACACCGGGTCATTGATTAATGTGAGTAACAAAGAAGAAATTTTGGTAGTTATCACTTCTCCCAAGAAAACAAAGAAACAATGTAGAGAACTTTGTTTTACAACAATTTAATTTTATTCAATATTTGGAAAGTATAATTTGGATGGATATAAAATTAGGTAGGAAAAAATTATAATAAAAACTTCCTATATAAATACATTTTAGCTTAAAAAAAATCTATAAGTAGTTGACACATTCTCTACAATTAAATATGACTATTTCTTAGCATGAAATAATTATGATTAATCATAAAATGAAGTACAAAAGCACAAAAATGGATAGCAACTCAAATTATCAGGTAGTTTTTATCAATAAAATTCAAGTGAAGGTAAAAATGTAGAGGTGTATGATTACACTGAATTTTGTCCACTAAAATCAAAGAAGCATAAAAATATTTATTGTAAGCCTGCTAATTAGTCAAATAAATTTTCTACAGAAATCTCTATATGCTAAATCACAGATAAATGTTATTTTTTTTTTTTTTCTGAGTTGGTGTCTTCCTCTGTCACCTAGGCTGGAGTGCAGTGACACGATTAAGGTTCATCACAGTCTCAATATCCCAGGCTCAGGCACAAGTAGCTGGGACCATAAGTGTGCACCACCACACCCAGCTAATTTTTTAAAATTTTGTATAGAGAGAAAGTCTCGCTATGTTGCCTAGGTTGGTCTTAAACTCCTGGGCTCAAGTTCAGCCTCCCAAAATGCAAGGATTACAGGTGTGAGCCACTGTGCCTGGTCCTAAAATATTAGTTTTTAAAAGACTTAAAATTGTCATTTTGGGGGGAAACATAAATATAACTTCAATTTTAACTCAAATTATATGAACTTGACCAGTAAATCTAATTTTAGTAAAAAAAATTATGAGAAATAAACACCCACAACCCAAATTAAAAGCCCTAAGAATAAACTATAGGAAATCTAATTAATTCTACATAACAAAGGACAATGACTAATAGGCGATCACTGCAGTCAAAATCACACCATGTGTATTTTCCCATTTTCATATCCACCTCTTTTGTTAAAGTATTAATTTTATACTGAAAGCATTAAATATATATATATACATTTTTTAAATTAAAACGCAGGCTGGGCTCGGTGGCTCAGCCTGTAATTCTAGCACTTTGGGAGGCCTAGGGGAGTGAATTGCCTGAACCTGAGGGTTCGAGACCAACCCAGGCAACTTGGCGAGACCTTGTCTCTACATTAAATAAAAAACATTATCTGGGTATGGTAGCGCACGTCTGTAGTTCCACTACTTTGAAGGCTGAGGCAGAAGGATCACCGGAGCACAGAAGGTCAACGCTGGGGTGGTGGTGAGTGTGCCACAGAACTCCATCCAGTCTGGGCAACAGAGTGAGACTCCAACTCAAAAAAAAAAAAGAATTAAAATGCAAAGACTATAGTCTTTGTAAATGTTTTTTATTACATTTTTAATTTTTAAATATATTTTGTTAACATTAAACATTCCACTAATAGATTGATAGCATATAATTCTTACTCAATGATGATCCAGTTACAAATCAGTTCTTTCCTTTTTTTTTAATTTTCAGATTCTTCACAGATACTTCTGGGGTTGCAATACTTTTTTTAATAAGCTGTTTGTATTGTAAAAATGCAATAGCAGTGAAGGTGATAGTGCAGACTTTGCAAAGAACACCTGGATTTGAAAAGAAAATGCAATGATCAGTTATGCTCATGTTCTCAGAACAAAAATGTTTATAGAAAAAAATGCCATTTACTAAAAAAAGTACATTATATCTCTAAAAGCATAAATTTCACCTCTAGAGTTACAAATTCCCCTATTGTAGAATGTAATTAATGTCATAAATTTATATCAAGCTATATAAAAGAATTTTTTTAATGTTTACAAAATGTTTTAGATTTCTTAGACATATACCACCCCAAATGGAAGGTATGTTATTACTTTATAGAATATGTTAATTCTAAAAGAAAAATAAATTCCTATTTTCAAAACGCAACAATAAATAGGAACTGAACCTGTTTAAGTCACTGCAGCTCTACTCTTTTTGAAATATACATCATTTTACAAATACAAACATAAGCATCACAGAAAAATTAATTGATTATATAAGGTTGTTTTTCATTTTCATGTTTCAAGTTTCAGAAAGTTAACACATTACAAGCATTATATAACATTACTTGAACTTTGGAAACAAATTACCTTGTTAATTAAAGTTAAAAATATTTTAGAGCAACAATATCACAAGGTAAAAAGAAACATTAATGAGTCTATGACACTTATAATAACACAGTAAAGTTTTATACTTTTTAAAGGGAAGAGTATATTTTTCTAGTGATAGCTCTCTCTAATATTGTAGTTGCAACATAATAATCAACCTATAAAATAGTAAACAACTGTGAATTATTCTCCTGAGGGTATAGTTTGTGAGAAAAAGTTGAGTAATTATGAAAAAGAATCCAGCGATACTTCCAATAAGAAGGAATAGTTACAGTAGGCAAGTTATTTGAAAACAAAAGTACAAGCCAGATAACATATTAAAGTCTGAGGGTCCTGATGAAGAAATAAGGAAGAGATATACAAAGGAGGGAAGAACTTAATGAATGTGATCTGACTTCGGTAACAGCTTTTTCTCTGAGGTTGTTTTCCATACTGGATGGGGGCAAAAGGCAGAAAATCGAATTTTTACTCTGGCAAAAGATCTTGCTGAAAAACAAAAAATTTCATTGGTCTAACAGGGTTGGAGTGACAAACTTGGAAACAGCAAAGGCTTCAAGCAAAGAGCAAGACAATTGCTGAGTATCAAAAGCCAAGAGAGGGCAGAACACTCAAAGACATGTAGCTTAGTTGTACAGCACAGACAGATCTACAACATTTTGCCATTATTCAAATCTAAAGCCTTGCTGAAGAGAAATTTCTAATCACCCACGACTCACTCCTTGAAATTTTGAAACCAATAGTGAACTGAATCAAGTTAAGCTGCAAATTAGTGGAGAACTAGCTCAAACAGACACTGAATTAACTTACCCTCCAGTTGTAGACTAACAGAAGAAGGAAATTGTCCTTTTCTGAAGATAAATATTTGTTTCAGCCTGTATTGTTCTCTTATACAAAAGGCCTGGAATGTAATCAAATATTGCAAGACATACAAAGAGTAAGAAAATGACATTTCTAATCAAAAGTGGAAGCAATCAATACAAGCATATCAGAGAGGCCCTAGCTATTGGAATCAATAGATAAGAACTTTAAAATAATTATGGTGAAACATAAATGCATCTAGTGGAAAGGCAGAAAACGTGCACAAAGACTTTTCAGTACAGAAATGGAAATACAAAAATGAACCTGGTAGAAATAATAGAAATAAGAAATATGATATCAAAAATGAAGAATTCATAATACATTTAACAAGACTGTACAGATGAGAAAAAACAATAATCTTGAAGACAGATCAATAGACAATATACTAAGAGATAAATAGAAGAAAAGAGTAAAGAACATTCAAAATATATTAAATAATGTCAAATGGTTGCACATGTATTTAGGTGGAGTCCCAGAAGGAGAGAGGACAAAAAATGAGATAAAATAAATATCTTAAATGATGATGTCCAAGTATCTTCCAAAATTATTGGTGACATCAATCCACAAATACAAGAAGTTCAGCATGTCCCAAAGAGAAAATAAAGGAAGGATACACAGAAAACCATAAAGGAAGGATACACAGAAAACCATATTTAGGCACATCATAGTCAATCTAGTCAAAGACAGTAAAACATCATCAATCATCACAGATAAAGAGAAAATCTTGCTCAAATCTAGAATAAAAGATATATTGTATTGCATATAGGACAGCAAAATTACAAATGATAGTTGACTTCTCACCAAAAAAATTGAAGACCAGAAAATTATGTGATATCTTAAAGTGCTGAAAGTTTGTTTTTTTAAAGAAAAAGCTTTTGATAAAATCCAGTACCGCCCCCCCCCCTTTTTTTTTTTGAAGAAAGAAAAGATTTATTTAAAAAGAGACCACTTCCCACATGTGGCCACCTCCCCAAGGTGGGGGAGAGGACCAAAGCCAGGAAGCATGTTGACAGCCATAGCTCAAAGAGCTCATGGCCACACCAGAGTCTAGTAAGGCAATGGTCCAGCACCCATTCTAAAAAAAAACAAAAAAAGTCATTTTAGGATTTTAAAAAATCTTTCAAATATGAGCATAACTGAACTATGTTCTCAATAAACAAAAGGTGAAAGAGTTCATCAATGCCAAAAGAAGTTCTTCAGGTACCTATACTAGATAAAATACCAGATCTGCAGAAATACCAGATCTTCATTGACACATATGTCCATACGTTTTCTCTTCACTCTGTTGATATTTTGCTGTGCAGAAAGAAGCTTTTTAGTTGGTCTATTTTTGCTTTTGTTGCCTGTGCTTTTGGGGTCATACCTGAAAAATCATTGCCCAGGCCAATACCAAGAAGTTTTTTCCTGTTTTTAAAAATAATTTTATAGTTACATATATTATGTATAAGTCTTTAACTCATTTTGAGTTGATTTTTGTATCTAGTGTGAGATAAGGGTCCAATTTTATTTTTCTATTATACATGTGGATATCCTATTTTCCCTGAATCATTTATTGAAAAGACTATTCCATTGTGTGTTCTTAGAACATTTGTTGAACAATTGACCAAATGCATAGATTTATTTGGGGATTTTCTATTCTGTTTCAAAGGCCTATGTCTGTTTCTGTGATGGAACATGCTATTTTGATTTCTGTAGTTTTGTAATATATTTTGAAATCAGATCGTGTTATACTTCCAGCTTTGTACATTTCACAAAAATGATTTTACAAAAAAAAATTTATTGGCTGTTTGTTTACAATTTTCTTATAGCTTTTAGTATACAGATCGTTCACTTCCTTGGTCAAATTTATTTCTAAGTATCTTTTTTTGACACTACTGTTAAGTAAGATTGTTTTGGTAGTTTTGATTAGTTTTACCTAAATATTCGTTTTGGTGTTGATTGTATCCTGTAAATTTATTGAATTAATGTATTATTTCTAACAGGTTTTTGATAGAGTCTCTCTCTCTCTCTCACATACGTATGCACAATGTTATCTACGTATTACTTTTTGAAGTTGAATGTGTAGTATGACGTTTGCTCAGCTGTGTTTCTAACATTTTTTTGACTGTCCTGCCTGCTGCATGGTAATGCTAGCATTCATTTGTTTAACGCCATTTTTTGAGTGAACGTCATACTTAAATGTATATGCTTTTTTCTCCACATCCTGTATATATATGTATGTGGTATATATAAAATAATGTCAAATGCAAACAAAAATAATCTTACTTCTTCCTTTCTAACTTGGATACTTTTATTACTTTTTTTCTTGCCTAATTGCTTTGGCTAGGACTTCCTATCTTAGAGAAGTAATTTTTCCTGATCTTAGAGAAGAAACTTTACTTGTAGGCTGGCCATATTTTTAAAATTTTGTTTGGGTAACTTCCTCTATCCCAATTTTTGGAGGATTTTTATCATGAAATAATGTTAAATTTTGTCAAATACTTTTTCTGACTCTATTGAAATTATCACATAATTTTATCCTTTATTCTGTTAATATGACATATCCCATTAATTAATTTGTGTATGTTGGAGCATTCTTGCACATCAGGGAAAAATTCCACTTGATCATTGTGTGTGATCCTTTTACATGCATGGTTGAATTCAGTGTACTAGCATTTTCTTGAGGATTTTTGCGTCTGTATTCATCAAGGATATTTGCCTGTAATTTTTTTTTCTTGTCATGTTCTTGTCCGACTTTGGTATCTGCATAATTCTGGCCACATAAAATGAGTTTAAAAGTGTTTCTTCCTCTTTAATTTTTTTTGAAGCATCTGAAAGGATTAGTATTATTTCTTCTTTAAATATTTGTAGAATTCATCAGTGAAGCCATCATCTAGTCTTGGATTTTTCTATGTTGATAGGTTTTGATTACTGATTTAATCTCCTGATTCATTATTGTTCTGACAAGATTTTTTTACTTCTTCATGACTATGTCTTCGTAGATTGTATGTTTGTAGTAATTTGCTCATATTATCCAGGTTATCCAATTTGTTGGTGTATAATTTTTCATAATAGTTTCATTATTCTTTTAATTTCTGTTGCATAAATTGTAATGTCTTCTCTTTCATTTATAATTTTATTGTTTGTCTTCTGTTTTTCTTAGTGTAGCTAAAGCTTTGTCAATTTTGTTTACCTTAGCAAAAAGCCAACTCTTAAATTCATTGATTTGTTTCCATTTTTTCTAATCGCTATTGCATTTACTTTTATTCTGATTTTTATTATTTCTTTCCTTCTGCTGACTTTGGGCTTAGTTTGTTCTTTTTCTTAGTTCCTGAAGTGTAACATTAGGTTCAGCCAGTCTAAGACTTTTGAATTCTGTTTGAATACAGAGATTAATGTATTTATATTTAAAGTCATTATTGATAGATAAAAACTCACTAGTGCCATTTTAAAATTATTTTCTGACTATTTTGTTTCCTTTGTTCCATTTTTTCCCTTGTTGTTTTCCTTTGTGATTTGAAGATTTTTTTTTAATGTGGTATGATTTAGCTTCTTTCTCTTTCCTTTTTGTTTATATACTACATGTTTTTTTTTTTCCTTTGGGGTTATTATAAAACTTACATAAGATATTTTATAGTTATAAAATTATATTTAAGCTAACAATTTTTCTATACTTTATATATAATGTATTGCTTAACAAATTACTGTAGCTATAGTTATTTTTAATGTTTAAGTTGATAGCAGAGTTAAAAGTGATTGGGCAACCCTTTCAGGTCCCCTCCCACTGTGGGAGCTATTCTGTCCTCTCATTAAATCCTGCTTTCTTAAAAAAAAAAAAAAAAAAAAAAAACATGATCTATGCATGACAATTACAATATTAAAGAATTCTAAATTTGACCATATATTTACTTTTGCCAGGGAGTTTTATACTTTCAAATGTTTTCATGTAGTAACTAGCATCCTTTTGTTTCAACTTTAAGAACTCCTTTTAACATTCCTTGTAAAGTAGGTCTAGTGGTGATGAATTTCCTCAGCTTTTGTCTGGAAAATACTTATCTCTCATTTATTTATAAAGGAAAGACTTGTCAGGAATAGTTTTCTTGACTGACAGTTTCTTTCTTTCAGCACATTAAATTCACCATTCCACCCTACTGGCCTGAAAAATTTCTGCTCATGAGTTTGGATGTTCATTTCTGTCTCCAGATTTGGGACTTTTCTGTCATTTGTTTATTTATTTATTTATTTATTTATTTGTTTACTTATATACTTATTTTAATAGAGATGAGGTCTCATTATGTTGCCTAGGCTGGTCTCGAACTCCTGGACTCAAGCAATCCTCTTGCCTCGGCCTCCCAAATTGCTGGTATTACAGATGTGAGCCATTGTACCTGGCCTGTTATTATTTCTTTAAATAAGCTTCCTTTTACTTCCTCTGTTCCTCTGTTCCTCTGGCATAAATTGGTTTGCTTGGTGACATCCCATAATTCCCATAGGCTTTCTTCTTTGTTTTTAAAAATTCTCTTTTATTCTATTTATTACTCTGGGTAATTTCAAATACTCTGCTTTCAACTCATTGAATATTCTGTTTGATTGAATATGTTGTTGAAGTTTTCTATGGAAGTTTTCAGCCAGTTATTGTGTTCTTTAGCTCCAGAATTTGTTTCTTTCTTGTGATTTTATCTCTTTAATAAATTTTTCATTTTATATATTATTTTCCTGATTATGTTTAGATGTCTGCATACTCTTCTAGCTCACTGAGCTTTAAAATGATTAATCTGAATATTGTGTCAGGCAATTCATGAGTTTCCAATTTTTTTTTTTTCTTTTCTTTTCTTTCTTTCTTTTTTTTTTTTTTTAAGATTCCTGGGCTCAAGCAATTCTTCTGCCTCAGCCTTCCAAGTAGCTAGGAGTAGAGGTGTATAACACCATACTTGGTGAGCCTCCATTTTGTTAGAGTCAGTTACTGGTGATTTATTTTGTTCCTTTGGTAGTGTTATATTTTTCTGATTATCTGTGATCTTGTAGTCATGAATTAGAGTCAGCACTTTTGAAGAAGTAGGCTATCATTTTAGCCTTTTCATATAGGACTTTTCAGGGCAAGCCCTTCACCAATCAAATGGTCCAGAGATCCTTGGCAAGCTATTTGGCAGAATCCATGAACAAGCTCACTGCTGGATCTGTTGGGCAGGCTCGCCTGGTGCCAGAGTCAGCAGATGGGCTTGCCTGGTACCTGGGTATACAATAACCTGGGTCCACTGGATCCTGAGTTCATCTTGGCTGGCCAGGTGTTGGGACCCACTTAGGTGAACCGTTTGACTGAGGATATGGGGGCAGTCCTGGACCTTGAGTCTGTGGAGCCCAGCCTGAAGCATAGGTTCATGGTGGCTGAGATGCGGCTGAGATGGCAGGCCTTGAACCTGAATCCTGGGTCACTGGAGCCTAGAGCTGGTGGGTTCTGACTGGAGCTTGGGCCTGGGGACTGTATCTGCAAGTGCTGGCCTGGAAGTTAGGTCTTTGAGTGTCAGTCTGGTGCTTCAGGCTGTGAATACATACTGTGTTTGAAAACAGCTAATTATGTTATAATTATATCTAAAATAAAAATTAAAGTCTCGGTAACATGTTAAGACTTCCATAAGAAAAACTCCTGGTTTTGTTGAATTACCTCTAGCAAATTGATTTTTACTTCTCAAACGCCATTTTGACTGATTTTTTTTTCCTTATTTTACTCACTGTTCAGTGTAGGCTACACTTGCTGGATAATTTACTTCTGAATTAGAAGATATTTGGCTCTATACTTTTTTATCAAATATATATTTCTTACTGTTAGCTATTAGCATCTATCATTATATTTTTTTTAAATTGCTGAATCTACTCAATAAAACCACAAAACATATAAGGACTTTTAAATATTCGGTGGGACACGATGGCTCATACCTGTAAGCCTACTGCTTTGGGAGGCAAAGGTGGGAGGATTATTTGAGGTGAGGAATTAAATACCACTCCAGAAAACCTAGCAAGGTTCTGTATCTATGAAAAAGAAAATAATTAGTTGGGCATTGTGGTACATGTCTTTAGTCCTAGCTCCTTGGGAGGCTGAGGTGGGAGAATCACTAGAGTCCAGGAGTTTAAGGTTACAGTGAGCTATGGTCATGCCGCTGCACTTCAGCCGAGGTGACAGAGCAAGATCTTGCTCTAAAAAAAGTTTTTAATAAAACGTAAGTATTTATCACACAAACATATTTATATAATAAATTCATTTAACATTCTGATTAAGACTTCAGAAATTATGCAGTATTCTATCTTCATTTAACAGATAAATAAAGATCCAGGAAGATTCCATGAATTTTCAAAAGTAATAAGGACATATCTAGATTTTCCAGTACTTTAACCATAGCTCACACCACCACGGCATCTAAATCTAAATCTCTTATTTATTCAATAAATATGGAATGCTTACTATGTTCCAAGCACTTTTATGCTATTGAACAAAAGAGAAAATATAAAATTAACATTTAATTGAGATAAAGATATTCTGATGCTCTCTGTTGGTGCAAAAATTTTACTCAAATTTATCCAATCTTTTACTGTGGAGATGTTTGAAATGACTCAGGGCCAGTAAATCTGGTTGTGTAAGTATACAGACAAAATGACTTCTCAAACAAAAATTCTGCAATTTATCAACCTTAATTCAAGGATAATATAGAACTATTGTGTTTTTAATACACAGACTCAAACATATAAATTAAATAGTCATTTAATTTTTAAAATATTTAACATATAATCATATAAGCCTCCTTTAATCATCAAAATATCTATTTGCTCATGGTATATTATAATTCTTCCTTACTATAAGCAACCACACGTTTAAAAAATAATTTTATTGTTTTACATTTCTTTAAAAGGTATCACACACTTACATATCCCTACCAATAGGTAGGCCATATTTGTTTTGTTATGGATCCAGCAACGTCCGGTGCGTCCACATTGATTACTATCACGGAAAGTACAAGAAGTTTCTCCTATCATTCTAAAGATTAATGGTCCAGGAATACTCCCTGCGAAAAATGCAGTGATTGTAAATTCTCCATAAAAACACTATAAATCAGGTTAAAATAATTTTCTCCTGAAATTAAACATGTAATATGTACACATATATGTGATTAATCACCAATTCTAAACATATAATTTTTAATTATTGGATAGTTTACTTATAGATAAGATTATTAATCTCTGGAGACAAATGTGAGTTTCAAAAAAAATTCATATCCCTGTAGGTATAAGATGGTTTGTAGGTTTGCATCCTTTTAGAAGGTTGTACATGTTATTATTTAGACGACATCTCAACATTTTTGTTGATTTTCATATGAAAAACTTAGAAAATACTTAAAGTAGAGACACTAAATGTTGATTTTGTGAAGTCAGTATGTCTTCAAAGATCTCTAGTTATGAAATTTTCAGTGACTGAAAAATGGGTTTGCAATGTATATCTATTATTTATCAAGATACTGAGAAAAATAAATGAAAGTACAAATGCTATGGTATCTTTACAGCAGTCCCAGATTCAGGTGGTCTCAGATCCAGAGGAACAGCTGTGATATGATGCCTGAGGGAATCTTCTACATAGTCTCAGAGACAACATCTCCTCAACAACAATGTTACAACAACAGCAACAGATGCTGGCGAGGATGCAGAAAAAAGGAATGCTTCTACACTGCTGGTGGGAATGCAAACTAGTGCAAACTCTGTGGAAAATAGTGTGGCAATTTCTAAAAGAACTAGACATTGACCTTCCATATGACACAGCAGTCCCCTTACTAGGAATATACCCGGAGGAACTCAAATCATTCTACAAAAAAGATACCTGCACATGCATGTTTACTGCAGCTCTATTCACAATAGCAAAAACATGGTACCAACCATGCTGCCCATCGGAACTAGACTGGATTTTTAAAATGTAGTACATATATACAGTGGAATATTACACAGCCATAAAGAAGGACAAACATATGGATTTCACAGCAACTTGGATGGATTTAGAGTCTATTATATTCAGTGATCTATCACTGAAACAAAGAACAGAGGACCACATGTTCTTACTCATAAGCAGACCCTGAACACTTATCCTAACACTACAAGAAAGGGATTGGCAGTAGCGGGATACTGCTGGGGTGGGGGTGGGGGAAACACAACATCAGTAAGGGCATCTGACCTCAAACCAGGCAAAGTGGAGACTAAAGGGAGGCCCAAACTTTCCCTGTACAATGACAACTTGTATACCTAATCCTGAATTGTACACCACATCTTTAAAATAAATTTATAAAAAAACACTACTTTCAGCTAAAGGTGGCACACATACATACACACACACCATTGCCTCAAAGACACCAGAATCAGGATTTCAGAACTAAAAACTCTGACGACTGACCTTCTTCCTTAAGCAAATATTAGGGTCTCCTTGCCTCACGACTCTTGTTCCAACACTAATTATCTAGATTTTACCAACTCAGTGAAGACACTCTTTTTATAGTTGCTCAAGTAAAATATCAAGGCAATTCCTTTGTCTATTCCCCACCATCTTTTTCTGATCCATCATAAATCTTTGTAACACTAATTCTAAAAATATCTTGGATATGTGGCTTTCTTTCTATTCCCACTACAACACCCAGGTTCCGATTTAATATAACTCACAGGTTCAGCAAAAGCCTCCCTTTTCTTTTTCTCCACATTTATCTCCTATAAGTATTTTTCCCTCTAGCAGCAGAGTTTTCTCTTTTAAATGTAAATCAAATATCCTCTGCTTATGATTATTTCATGGCAAAAACCTGCACTATCCAGAGGCAGGAGATATCTATGAGATCGTCTTATTCTACTCTCTCCCATTCAAAAATGCATCAGTCTCACTGGCTTCTTCTAATGCAGAAAATTGCTTGGGCACTGGCTGTTTCCTATCCCACCTCTTCTATTACAAACCTCTTCTTACCTAACAAATCACTGCCCAAAACAGAAATATGCTCTAAGTTTTCCCAGTTAAAAAAGCTAATTTTAATTGCAAATGTAGATCTAGCTATAGAAGGATTTCTTCTGGTCTTCATTAGAGTCACACTTAGACTTTTCTACATTCTTTTATCACATGCATTTAAGTCTTCAATCCAGTCCAATCATGATTCTATGTTTCCTTACTTCCCACCTCACCAATATTTTAATAAACTTTTAATTTATTTATTCATTTATTATTATTTTTTAAGACAGCACTTTGCTGCCCAGACTGGAGTGCAATGGCACAATCATGGTCCACTGCAGCCTTGACATCCTGGGCTCAAGCCGAACCTTCCAACTAGTTGAAACTACAGGTGCATGCTACCATACCTGGTTACTTATTTTTTATTTTTTACTTTAGATGAAAAAAGTCTCCCTACATTGCCTAAGCTGGTCTTGAACTCATAGTCTAAAGTGATACTCCTGCTTCATTCTCCCAAAGTGCTGGGATTACAGACTTGAGCTACCACACTCAACTTCAATCAACTTTTTTTTTTTTTAATCAGGGTCTCAACCCAGGCTAGACTGCAGTAGCTCAGTAATGGCTCACCTCAACCTCAACTTCCTGTACTTAGGCAATCCTTTTGCCTTAGCCTCCCGAGTAGCTGGGACTGCAAGAGTATACCACCACACCGGCTAATTTTTGTAGAGACAAGGCATTGCTGTTGCCTAGGCTAGTTTCAAACTCCTGATCTCAAGCAATTCTCACCTCAACCTCCCAAAGTGCCAGGATTATAGGCATGACCCCATGCCCAACCTTAAACAATTCTTAAATCAGAGGTCCAATATAGTCACAATGTGGTTTGAAATCTAGTTTTTGCTATTTAAGAAAGCCAAAGAAAAGAGTACATTACCCTTTGCAAAACTAATTTCTTCTTAGGAACAAATAAATCTTTTAAAAGATTACATTCAGAGTTTTTGGTGATGAAAACAATCAAAAGCACCAGTCTAGATTAATGACTTCCCAAATATGCAATGTGAAGTATGGTTGCTGTGATTATACAAATGTTTTGTATGAGTTTACCAAACCACTTGTATGAGATGATGAATTCGTTTCAGATTAAATAGATGATCTCTTATGAAATAAAATGTATATTTTCTTTAACAGTTAGGAGGAGCTTTACATCAGGAATTTTCTCTACAATGTCTCCTAAATTCTGCACAACAGCTCCCCTTTCACTTGCTTTGTGCCATTTACCATTATTTATGTGTCTAAATGGACAAGAAGACATGTATACATATCAAAAGCAAGAATTTAATATAATAAAAGATTGCCAAAAATCCATACCAAACATTCTTAAAATCACGTAGCTTATACCCAAGGCCAGAGAACGCAGTTTGTCAGGTACAGTCCTGAAAGCAAATAGCAATGATATAATCAGCACTTCATTAGCTATAGAGAATGTATGCAAGGCTCAAGGTTACTTTTTTTTTCTTGTGTATCAGTTATACTAAGAATCTTTAGTGACAGAGTTCAATCTGGCCTATTAAAGGACTGCAACTCCTCCCCTTTCTCCATAACCTGCCCCTTGCCAACCAATTCTAAAGCTCCTTACTCTTCCCAAGTAAAAAGGTTGCTATGGCCTAAATCCTCTGCCCCAGCTTCCTTTTCCTTTACTGGAAAGACTTAGCACTAGCTTTCGTGCTTCTCTGTCTTCATTCTGTCATGCACACCCATTATTTAGATTTCTTTTTGCCCTATAAGATCAGTCTCCACTTTTTCTTGCTGTCTGCCCTGGGAGGCTGACTTCAATGGACTACATCAATAGGGTTTCTGATCTTCTGGTTCTGATTGGGTTCTGTCATTGGGGCACTCTGAGGGAAGGAGGAAGGTGAGGTGAAAAGCTTCATTTCCAGGCTCCCCCTGATACAGGTACTCAGGCTGACTGGGTCCCAAGGGCAAAGTAGTCCTCTCTACAGGTCTTTTTCCCACCCACCCCTTGTTTCCCTTTGGGCGGGGATGGTGACATACCAGTAGTACTGCACTATCCTTTGGGATTCCTTACACCTTGCCCTCTTTTAAAATAGTCATTTTATTCAACCTTACTTGAATATCCTGCTTTGAGGATACCATCTCTTTCTTGGGACCTGTAACTATTACACTCACTTTTTAAAAACAAAAATAAATGAAAAATAACTTTCCCAAATACAAAGAATGAAGACATCTGTATTTCCCATTGGTTAAACCAAGCATTTATTTATTTTTTTAAAGAGTATAATTGTATCTATTAGTAGTTTTGAAAATAAATTAAAAATAATCTTTGAACATTTTAGAAAGTTAAAAAATAAAAGTCACATTTTAAATGGGCACTTTAAATAAACTGTATGCTTACCCTGTTTCCTTATATTAGAACTTGAACAACAAACTGTAGTACTTCATCCAAAATGATTCAATTTATAAAAATGTGGTGTATGCACAGTATTTTGTGATATTTTGCAAAAAGTAAGAAAATTCTACCCATATCAACTTGGTAAAAATAAAAATTTCTTCCTCAAATGTTTACTACCAGGAAGATGAAAACAAATTAACCAATTCTCAAATGATAGTTATATTTTTAAATAAAAAATAATTTATACTTTTATTACAAACAGATTCATTAAAGAGACTTTACAAAAAATGAAGTGTGACATTTTGAAATCAAACTTTAGTATAGTTTTTTTATATCAAGTAGAAATGTTGCTTAACTATAATTGAGTGTTCTGCTTCATTTAGCATAAGTAGTTTTCTTATATGTAATATGAAACTGGTACTATCTGAGGCATATCTGTAGCTGATCATTGATCATGTATAACCATTAAGCAAATATATCTTCAGTTAAGATACAACCGTTTTCCTAACTAATATACAAAACAAGATGAAAAGATTAATGATTTCCAGGATTTTCCAAAAGTTTTTAAATGAACAATACAAAAATAAATAATAGATATGTATACTCAAAATTTTACGCTGGATGCAGTAACTCACACCTGTAATTCCAACACTTTGGGAGGCCAAGGCAAGAGGAGTTCAAGACAAGCCTGGGCAACATAGCGAGACTACAATATTCTAAGATCTTCCTAAAATTATTTTTCTTATGCATTAAATAAATAATGACTATGAATAATATATACATACCGAATGATGGCTAAGGTGACTGGTATACCAGAAAAACCAGAAAATACAAGGGTAGAAAACATAAAAGCAATGAACAAAGGTAATTTATAACACTTCGCATCACATTTTCCAGGTCTGGCATCAATAAATGCACCGTCTTCATCTGTGGTTATTAATCCCGCTTTAATGCAAGAACAATTGTAGTACATCTATGAATATTGAAGACAGGAAACAATCTTTCAGGAATATAACCATAAAACGAAAACTCACGACTATGTAGTAAAAATTAAATCAGAAACTGCATGGAGACTGGCTAGTTTTATTAATAAATATCCTTATACTAAGCTTGCTATTTCTTATTAGAAATGAAACATATGTGATAAATCCAATGTATTTCACATAACAAAGAATTAGTGTGTATGTGTTTATTTATTATTTACTTATTTTAATTATATTTATTTAGGAAAAGTTCTGTTGACTTAATAAATTTCCCTCAAAATAATTATATTCAATTTTTAAAAAAAATATCTGATCTCACTCTGTCATCCAGGCTGAAGTGCAGTGGCACACTCATGGCTCCCCACATCCTTGAACTCCTGTCCCACTTCAACCTCCCAAGGAGCTGGGACTACAGGTGTGCAACACCATGCCTAGCTAATTTTTTTATGTTTGTAAAGATCTGTCTCATTATGTTGCCCAGGCTAGTATATTCCATTTTGTAAGTAATTATTAGATATGGAAATTGGGGGAAATTAAAAACATGCTAATGAATAAAAGGAAATTCTGACTCAGATTTAAAATATAGATAGTTACGCAACTGTGAAGGGTTTTGAAATATGTTTAAAAAGGTAAGACTTTACTTTTATGTAATAATGACAGAGCTCTTTCCAGTAGACACAATAGACACGGTGCCTAGAACTTACAATATATTCAGTGTCATATAAAATATTTTAATTTTAATGACTTTTAAAATCAAAGAAAAAATGACTATAATAATGAATTACATAAAATAAAGATATAATGATGATTCCAGCCTGAATCATTTGTTCTTATATGAATGCATTTGAAGATAAAATTATTTATTTATTTATTTACTTATTTATTTACTTTGAGTTGGAGTCTCACTCTGTCGCCCAGACTGGAGTGCAGTGGCCACTCCGGGCCACCGCAGCCTCGACCCGCTGGGCTCCGGCTATCCTTCCGCCTCAGCCCTCTGAGTAGCCGGAATTACAGGCATGTGCTACCACGCCCGGCTGATTTTTGATTTATTGTAGAGATGAGGTCTCGCCAAGTTGCCCAGGAGGGTCTCGAACCCGCGGGCTCAGGCAATCCACTCACCTCGGCCTCCCGAAGCGCGGGATTACAGGCTGAGCCACCGAACCCAGCAAATAATTTATTTTTTAATGAAGAAAGGGGAGTACAAAGGCAAAAGTGTCTAGGGTCAATGGAAGGCATAATGTCACCCTATATGGAGACCCAATGAAAACTTGTAGTTGTTGTATGGTGGATAATTTAAGGAAGATGAATCAATTGATAGGTTTTACTAAATTATATCATATGGCATAGTTGTCTTTAAGAAAGAAAGATTATCTTAGGTAAACCTTATCTAATGCGGTAAGCCTTAAAATATACTGAACTCTTTCCAAAGTCAGAGACACAAAATGTGGCATAAGAGAAACTCTCTGTTGCTAACTTTGAAGAGGTCATTTGTGAAAAAAAATGTGGATGGCCTCTGAAAGCTGAAACTGGCCTCCAGCAGACAGCTAGTAAGGAAATAGGGAGCTCATTTTTTTATAACCCAAAGAAACCACATTTGACCAACAACTTGAACAAACTTAGAAGTGAATTATTTCCCAGATCCCCTTCCAAGAAATGAGCACAGCTCAGCCAGCATTCTGATTTCAGCCCGTGAGACTCTGAGCAGAGGACTCAGTCACGCTACATCTAGACTTCTGAACTTAGAACTAAGAGCTAGTAAGATGACTTATTTAAAGCCACTAAGGTTGGGGTACAGTAGTCCTCCCTCATCTATGTAGGATACATTCCAAGATCCCCAGTGGATGCCCGGAACCACAAATAGTACTGAACCCTATATATATTGCTTTTTCCTATATGTGCATACTTATAGTTTAATTTCTAAATAAGTCAAAGTAAGAGATTAACAACAATAATAATAAAATAGAACAATTATATCAATACTGCAATACAAGTTATGTAAAGATTCTCTCTCAAAATATTGTCATATTTTCAGACTGTGGTTGACAATGATTGAAACTGTGGATAAGAGGGAACTACTGTAATTTGCAAGTAGCAATAGTAAACTAATATATGATCCCCAAATATATAGGTGAAAGAGAGAGCGAAGATAAAAGATGATCTGTGAAACCCAAGCAAAATAAATATAAAGAAAGACACATCTATGCACATCAATGTAAAGGTGCTGATAACCAAAACCAAAAACAAACAAACAAAAACCAAAAAAAACCACAAAGAAAAAATCCTAAGAGCAACCAGAAACAGCAGACAACATAAGGGCATCTTCTAAATCCTTGGCAGTGGGGAGATTTGCTGCCAATCTAGAATTCCAAACCCAATGAAAGCAGTTCTCAGTAATTAAGGTAAAATAAGGTTCTTCAGGCAGAAGGAAAATAACTATATGTGAAAGCTTGGAAATGCAAAGAAAGAGGTAAATATAAGGGAGTACTAAATATGCAGAGTAACTATAATAATGATGTGTCATCTAAAGTATATGAAAGAACAACACAAAGTTAAGAGGGAATAAATGAAATCAACATGTTCTAAAGATGTTTAAACGAAAGGAGATCTTGAAGCTTTGTTTGTAACCCATAATGCTTTAAATGCAATTGACTTCTCTCTCCATAAATAAATTGAATGAGATTTCTGTTGGCCTAGAGCATCCTCTGGAAGAAGCCCCCATCCTGCTATTTAATAATGAAAGTGATTTCTGCTGCTGAAGAGAATCAGTCTCAGGGAGATCACAAAGAAAACCTGAGGTCTTTAATACCTGTATAAGGAAATTTGAAGATATTTGGAAGCATGGATAAGAAGGATACATATGGGTCTCAGTGAGGGCAAAAATGACCAGGAATACCATCAATATCAACAGCAGATAACTATTTTCAGTTGCAGTAAAGCTGCGCATTTCTACAGAAACTTAGAAATCTTCAGGAGTGCAGTGTTTTCTACCACTCTTCTTGCAAACTTTTGCATAAGTTTAATTGAAGAGCATCTAATCCTAACTTATTTTAACCCTAATCACATTTTGAATAAGAACATTTAATTATAATTATTTAAAAGTTGGCATATTCTCATCAAGAAAATATTTTTTGGAGAGAATTCCACTAACACCATTAAAGTAATTGAAGCTTTTTTAATAAACAGTGTTTCTCTGATTTTAATTTTAATTTTGTTAAGATTATTTCACTGGAATAAATCTTTTCCAATTTTAAATTAATGCTTATTCTATCCATTAATCAGTTCCATCCATAGCAAATTTTACTAAAAGCTTCTGCTTTGCAGGTTTTCCTTCAGAGCTATTATTTCTACCAGTGCCAATTGTCCTGTTGGGCAATTTCTGACATGTCTATTTTACTCGTCTTTTAATTTTTAAGTATAAAATGTTAACACAAAATTTGAGTGACTATTTTGTGGATTATTTCTATCAATGTTTTCATTATAGATTAATTATTCCTTGGATAAATATAAAAAATTATGAAGAGTTTCATGAAATAGAAAGTTCCTAAAAGAGATGTCCCTAAAAAGGAAAGAGGAGTTGGAGTTATATAGTAGATGGCCTGTTGAACTCTTGAATATCCCCTGGAATCAAAACATCGAGGTCAAACAGTTCTTCTGTATACTATGGTGACATAGTGAGCATTTAAAAACTAATTTACTAGTTGTAAAATAAAGTGGAGGAGAGAAAGTTGTTAGGAATATAGATAAAGTAAAATTTTTCCATAAATTAATAAATTGTTGAAGATAGTTAATTGGTATATGAGAGTTTATTATATTTTCTTATTATATTTTAAAGTTTCCACAGTCATATATTTTTAAAATTTTAAGTTTGGTGCTTAGAAAACTGGTTGACCATATGCAGAAGATTGAAACAGGACCCCTACCTATCACCATACACAAAAAACAACTCCAAATGGATCAAAGACCTAAATGTAAAGCCTCAAACCATAAAAACTATAAGAACCTTTAAAAATGCGGGAAACTCCCTTATGGAAATTGGAACTGGAAACCAATGTCTAATCAAAACCCCAAGTGCCCATGCCATAAGAGATAAGATAGACAAATGGGACCTCATAAAACTGTATCGCTTCTGCAAAGCAAAGGAAACCACCAAGAGAGTGGGGAGACAGCCCACAGAATGGAAAAAAATATTTGCCAACTGTGTTTCTGACAAAGGCCTACATCTAGAATCTACAAGGAACTCAAATGTGCCAAAAAGAAAAAAACCAAACAACTGCATTAAATAGTGGGCATGAATAGACACTTCTCAAAGGAAGATATACAGGCAACCAACAGACATGAAAAAGTGCTCAGCCTCACAAATCATCAAAGAAATGCAAATCAAAACCACACTGAGATACTACCTAACCCCAGTAAGAATGGTCATCACTAATAAAACAAACAGATGCTAGAGAGGATTTGTAGAGAAAGGAATGCTTCTTCACTGCTGGTGAGAATGCAAACTAGTACAACCTCTGTGGAAAACAGTGTGGTGATTTCCAAAAGAACTAGATATTGACCTTCCATATGATCCAGCAATTTCCCTACTGAGAATATACCCAGAGGAACTCAAATCATTCTACAAAAAATATACCTGCACATGCACGTTTATTACAGCACTATTCACAATAGCAAGAACATGGAACCAATCGTGTTGCCCATCGAAACTGGACCAGATTTTAAAATTGCAGTACACATACACAATGGAATATTATACAGTCATAAAGAAGGAAAAACATATGGACTTCACAGCAACTTGGATGGATTTAGAGTCTATCATACTCAGTGATCTATCACAGAAACAAAGAACAGAGTACCACATGTTCTCACTCATAAGAGGACTCTGAACACTTACCATAACACTATAAGAAAGGGATTGGCAGTAGCAGGATACTGCTAGGATGGGGGTGGGGCAACACAACATCAATAATGGTACCTGATCTCAAACCAGGCAAAGTGGGGACCAAAGGGAGGCCCAAACTTTACCTGTATGATGACCACTTGTATGCCTAATCCTGAATTATACCCCACATCTTTAAATAAAGTAAAAAAAACTTTACAGATTTTAAGTATATCTGTGTGTGTGTGTGTGTGTGTGTGTGTGTGTGTGTGTGTGTGTATTTCTTTTATTGAGAGTCTCACTCTGTCACCCACGCTGGAGTGCAATGACACAATTACAGTTCACCACAACCTCAGACTTCTGGGTTCAGGTGATCCTTCTGCCTCAGCTTCCTGCATAGCTGGGACTATAGGTACACACTACCATGCCTGGCTGTTTTTGATTTTCTTTTTGTAGAGACAAAGTCTTTAGCTGGGCTCAAGCAGTCCTCTTGCCTCAGCCTCCCTGAGAGCTAGGATTACAGGTATGAGCCACCATACCTAGCCAATTTAACATATAATACATTTAATAAAAAAGTTTTTTTTAAAGGGCATATAACCTTTTTTATATCAATATTCAATAAAAATCTGAATATATATTATTAAATTGTAGGCCAGTGAAAAGATTACCACGAGGAACTGAATTCAGGTTGGTAAGGTATGCTAATTTCTCTTGATAAAATGATCTATGTATAACAGGGAAAAGTATCATTGCATAGGTGTATAAATAACAAAAAACTTTATCACCTATTAAGTGAAGTGGCATAATACCTAAGAATCAGGAAACATACCTCTTTGTTGTTCTCTCCCATTCACAAAGACTAACCAGAGCAGGGAAAGAGAAACAGAATTTTTAAAGTCTGGATTCATACACTGTGGCACTTACAAGGTAAAAGCTGGAGTAGATAGTTCATTATTTAACTAAGAGCTTATTTATGCATCTTTGGATATAAAAAAAAATTAACCCAAACGAGTGGTGGAGTGGTCAACTGTTCTTCATGACAAAATAAGAAAAAGTGTTAAGTGGGTAATGGAAGGCCCAGGAAAATAGGGCTTCTGATGGTAATGGCCCCAAAGATGAGTAAATAGGGGAGTTTTAAAATGGTCCCAATTTCCTTGGCCAATGCCAAAGGAAAAACCAGAAAAACATATATTTAATTTCAAGTCACTTATGTGACTGCCCTATGAGTCTTCTCTAACTCTGTTACTTTTCTGGAAAGTCTAATATACTTGTAAAGGCCTTGTATGTATGGTGATTTCTGGTAAACCCTAATGGGATTAATTTCCACATATGAGCTCATGTGGGGCAGAAAGAGCTAAACAACAAGAAGATACAGAGTAAACATTTTGAAATCCTCAGCAGAAGGGGAAAAAAAATGAGTGAAAGGTGACCAAAAGGATAATATTGGTGAACTCCTTGGTGTGGGAAAGACTGTGGTTCAAATTTTGGGGGGATTGGGTGCTGCTGATAAGTAGCATAGAACTAAGACAACATTAAGTGGAAGACAAAAGTTTCCCTTGGGCTGCCTCTTTCAACTTTGCTATGGCAAGAGGCAAATGATAGCCCTTCACTGCTTTAAAACTGCAAAATTGGGATGATATAATAGATACAGGCACGTTTTAATGTATGACTGTCTCCTCTACTCGCTATTTCTATAAGCCCTTTGTATTGTGGCAACATAAAGCAAATTTTAGTTTCTTATTTTTTTTATTTTATTTTTTATAAACAATATTTTTTATTATGATATTGTGAGGTACAGTTAAGGGTTAGGTATACAAATAAGCTTCGTTCAGGCACCCTTATTGATAAGAGGTGTCTCCCCGTCCCCAGACAGATGTTTACTACCATTAATCCCATCTCCCTCCCTCCTCCCATAGTTTTCCACCACTGTCAGTCATTTTCTTTTTTTTTTTTTTAATTAATCAGTATTTTTTATTATGGTTTTGTGGGGTACAGTTAAAGGTTAGGTGTACAATTACGTTTCATTCAGGTACCCTGTTGATAAGAGGTGTTTTCCCATCCCCAGACAGATATTTGCTACTGTTAATCCCATCCCCCCCCATAGTTTCCCAGTACCGTCAGTCATTTTCTTATAGTATTGCATTGGATGTTCAAGGTCCATTATATGAGTGAGAACATGTGATATTCGGATCTTTGTTTCTGTGAAAGGTCACTCAGTATTATAGACTCTAGTTCCATCCAGGTTGCTGCGAAATTCATGATTTTGTTCTTTTTTATGGCTGTGTAGTATTAAAAAGCTTTTATAGAGAGCTAGGAGTAAGATGGAAACATCATCTAAGTTGAAATCACATTGGAGAGGAAGAGCCATAACAAAAAATAATTACCTTTCGTTTGTGTGATATTTTATGATATGTACAACCTGCAAAGCAGGGAGAAAAGTATTCAATATCATCTCTTCCACAAATAGAAGAATGAAATGAAGATGAGCATCTACACTGCGCATTGCAAGGAGCTATGAGGTTTCCCAACTGGCCTGTTCTACAAAAACAAGATTGAATGTGATTATATTATCATTGTTTTAGAATTATTAATGCATTTATCAAGATATCAGTGATATTCATAAAAATAGGCTTATTGAAATTATTTCTTCTTTAACAGCTTTGCTGAAGTCTACCTGATATACAATAAATGACACATATTTGAAGTGTACAGTTTGAAATCCTTTTAGTACAGGGAGACCCAAATTTATGTATAAATAATTGTGTATTTATTCTTACTTGTTTAAACTTCTGCAGTTACCTCCAAAGTACTCTCCATTTGATTACCTCCAAAGTACTCTCCATTTGACGCAATGCAACTGCTGAGATTCTTTTTCCACTGCTTAAAACAGTTTTTGAATTCTCCAGCTTTGATGCCTTTCAGTGCTTCTGCCATTTTTTGTTTTACTTCTTCTGTATCAGCAAAATGTTTTCCTTTCAGGACTTTTATCATCCAAGGAAACAAACAAAAGTCACCTGGGGTGAGAGCAGGTGAGTAGGGAGGGTGGGGCACAAGGGTCAAGCCGTTTTTGGTTCAAAACTGCTGAGCAGTCAGTGTGGTAGGGGAAGGTTCGTTCATGTAAACAACCCACGATGAAATGGGCAAATGCATTGAAATAATCTCCAGGAAAAAAATTTACTAATGCTGAATGCAGCCTCTCAGCTGGTACGCTGATGCCAATGGGTTCATAGAACATGTACCTAGCAGGGGAAGCCTGCTCTATAAAAGGCCTGCCCTCCAAAAAATAATTTTGTTTTTTTTTGGGTCTCCCTCATATATGTATACACTTATGAAATTATTACCACAATCATGCTAACAAACACGACCACCCCCAAAAGTTTCCTTGTGCAGCTTTGTAATTCTTCCACTCTCTGGCATACACTGATCTACTTTGTTACTATTTGTTAGTTGAATTTTCCTAAGATTTTATAAAATAAAACTACACAGTATATATGGTTTCCTTGGCTTCTTTCATACTACTGGTTTTTATATGGTCTTTTCATGGTCATATGCTTCCATCCTTGGGGTAAATATTAAGGAGTAGAATATTTGGATCACATGGTCGGTGTTCATTTAACTTTATCATACAGTTTTTTACACTGGCTGGGATATGTTCCATTCCCATAAACAGTGTGTAAGGGTTTCATTTGTTTGTTACATTTCTCATCAACATTTGGTGTAGTCTCTTTTTAAATTTCAGACATTTTCACAGGGCTGTAGTAATTTTTCATATTTTGGTTCTTAATATGTATTTTGCTAGTGACGAATGATGTTAATTATCTTTCCATATGCTTACTTTTCAATTGTATTTATTTGGTAAATGCTTATTCAAATTATTTGCCCATTTGAGTTGAATTGTGTATTTTCCACATATTAAGCATTAAAACATATATTCTGGCTTATGATTCTGAAATCTGGATAAGAAGCACAGCGCCAACATCTGCTTCTGGTGAGGGTTTCCAGGTGCTTCCACTCATGGAGGAAGGCAAAGAGAAAAAGCCATCAGATGGTGAGTAAAAGGGAGCAAGAAAGAGGAAGGATAGTGCCAGGCTCTTTTTAACAATCAGATCTCATTAAATCAATAGACTGAGCAGTTTACCACAAGGATGGTACCAACCAATTCATGAGGGATCCACTCCTAGGACCCAAACTATACTTTATATCAAACATAACAGACTTTTCATCAAAAACAGTAACACAGTACAAAGAAGCTTATTATGTATTGAAGAAGGTATCAATTCAGCAAAAGGATATAACAATTCTAAAACTATATGGGGTCTGACAATTAAGTTCATGAACTCATCTTAGAAAAAGTGCTACATGCCTCATTGCTGAATGTCAATACAATCACCTTCAAAGTATTCCCCCTAGGAAGCTATGTACCCACACCAGTACCTAATCCACCCATCAAAGCAATTTTGGAACTCTTTCTGGACTGGCCATCAGAGCTGTCATAAAAAAAAAAATGTCGAAGTTTGAATTAGAGCAACACACAAACATTAAATTTCTTGTTAAACTTGGCAAGAGTGGGAGTGAAATCAGGGACATGTTAGTCCATGTTTATAGGGATAATGCCATGAATAAAATGGCAGTGGACAAACGTGGTTTAAACATTTTTCTTGGGGAGAAAAAGCATTACTGATGATGAGAACTCAGGACAGCCGGTACCAAGCAGAACTGATGAAAACATTGCAAAAATGTGTCAAATTGTGCATCAAAATCATCGACTGACTGTAAGAAGCATAGCAGACCAAATAAACATCAATAGAGAAACAGAAAATCTTAACTGAAAATCTTGGCATGAGAAAGTTGTATGCAAAGGAGCTCTTGGATCATGACAGTGCTCCAGCTCACACAGCACTATCTATGAGGCAGTTTTTAGCCAGTAAGCAAATAACTATAATGAAACACCTTCCCTACTCACCTGCTCTGGCCCCCAATGACTTTTTTATTTACCCAAAGATAAAGGAAATATTGAAAAGAAGACATTTTGATGACATTCAGGACATCAAGGATAATATGACAACAATTCTGATGGCCATTTCAGAAAAAGTTTCAAAATTGATCTGACAATGAACCAGGTGCTATCATTGGTGCATGGCTTCCCAGGGGAAATACTTCAAAGGTGACCATAGCGATATTCAGCAATGAAATATGTAGCACTTTTTCTAGGATGAGTTTGTGAACTTGTCAGACCTTGTGTATCTAGAAAATCCAGACTCCACCAAAACACTCTTAGATTTGATGAATACATTTGGTAAAGTTTCATGCTATCAATTCAACTTACAAAAATTAGAAGCATTTTTATGCAACTATAACAGTCCAACACAGAAAAAAATCAAAATGGCAAATCCATTTACAATAACAGTAAAAAAATAATAAAAATAACCAGAAATATATTTAAACAGGGAGGTGAAATATCTGTATAAGAAAAACTATAAAACACTGATTAAAAAATTGTAGATGACACAAATGGAAAAACTTCCCATGTTCACAAATTGGATGAATGAATATTGTTCAAATTACTGTACTGCTTCCCCAAATCTTCATATTCAATGCAATTCCTACATCATTTTGCACATAATTAGAAAAAAAATCCTAAAATTCATTGAAACCAAAAAAAAAAAAATCCCAAAGTCAAAATAATTCTAAGCATAAAGAACAAGAACAAAGTTGGAGGTATCACATTTGCTGACTTCAATTTATATTACAAGGCTATAGTAACAAAAACATTGTAGTACCAGGAAATATACACATAATCAATGAAACAGAATAGAGTACCCAGAAATAAAGCCATATATTTACAGTCAACTGATCGTGGACAAAGTTGACAAGGACATAAATTGGGGAAAGGTCACACGGTGCTGAGAATGTTGGATTGTCATATGCAGATGAATGAAACTGGACCCCTATCTGTCACCATATACAAAAATCCACTCAAGGTGGATTAAAAACTTAAATGATAAGTCCTGAAACTATAGAAATAGCATGAGAAAACCTGAAGAAAACTATTCTGTACATTGGTCTAGTCAAAGAATTCATGACAGACCTTAAAAGCATAGGCAACAAAACAAAAATAGACAACAGGACTTAGCTAAACTAAAAAGCTTCTGCACAGCAAAATAAATAATCAACAGGTTGTTCAAGACAACCTGCAGAATGGGAGAAAATATTTGCAAACTGTGCTTTTGACAGGGGACTAATATCCCCACAATCAGATTAAAAAGGGGACAAAGGACATGAATAGGCATTTTAAAAGAAAGCATACAAATGACCAGCAAGTATATGAAAAAATGTTTAGGCCAGGTGTGGTGGTTTACGCTTGCAATCCCAGCACTTTGGGAAGCAGAGATGAGAGGATCACTTAAGTCCAGGAGTTGAAGACCAGCTTGAGCAACATCGTGAGACCTCATCTCTACAAAAAAAATTTTAAAAATTAGTGGTGACATGTGCCTGTAGTCCCAGCTACTTGGGAAGCTAAGGTGGAAGGATCGCCTGAGCCTAGCAGGTCGAGACTGTGATGACCCGTGATTGTGTCACTGCACTCCAGCCTGGGCAACAGAATGAGACTCCGACTCTGAATAAATAAGTAAATAAACAAGCAAATACATAAAAATTTCAAAATGTCAACATCACTAATCATCAGAGAAATACAAATTAAAATCATAATGTGATATCTCAGTCAGAATGACTATTATTAAAAAGTCAAAAAAATAGAAGATGTTGGTGGGGATGTGTAGAAAAGGAAACATTTATAATGTTGTTGTTGGAAATGTAAATTAGCACAACTTATGGAAAACAGAATGGAGATTTCTCAAAGAACTAAAAATGGAACAATCATTCAATCCCATTACTGGGTGTCTACCCAAAGGAAAAAAAATCACTATATTAAAAAGATGCTTGCACTCATAAGTAGTAGCAGCAAAATCACAACAGAAAAGTTATGAAATCAATGTGTCTATCAGTAGATGACAAGATAAAGATGATATGTGTATGGATACAAAATCAAATCAAATACTATTTGGCCATAAAAAGAATTAACTCATGTTGTTGTTTTCCAGCAACATGGAACTGGAGGTCATTATCTTAAGTGAAACAGGTAAGACACAGAAAGACAAATACTGCTTGTTCTCACTCACAAGTAGGAGCTAAAAATTATGTACACACGAACATCAAGATTGAGAAGGTAAACCATGGAGACTTCCAAGGAGATGGAATAGGAAGGGAATGGATGATGAGAAATTACTTAATGGACACAATGTACATTATTCAGGTCATGGACATCCTAAAAGCCCTGAATTGACCACTATGCAATGTATGTATGTAACAATATTGCACCTGTACTCATAAGTCTATATAAATGAAATATATATATACATTTATTGAAACTTATTTTAAAACCCAGAATATAGTATATCTTGACAACTGTTACATGTACAACTGTTACATGTACACTTGTATTCTTTTATGTTGGACATTTCTACAAATGTCAGTTAGTAGAATTGACAGTCAGTTGGCAGTGACGCTCTAACAAATTTTTTGGTCTACTTCTGATCACTAATTTTTTGGTCTATTTTTTCTTTTCATTGTTAAGTCTTCTTGTATTCACTATCTAACTATACCTGTGGATTTCTTTACTTATTCTTGCAGTGTACAAGTTTTTGTTCTACATATTTTAAAACTTTTTAATGCCATTCATAAATGTCTGGGATTATTATGTATTCTTGAAAAATTGATTGCTTTATCACTATGTAATGACCTTCTTTATTCCCACTAATAATATTTTTTGCTATCAAAACTACTTGATCTGGTATTGTTCTCCAGGTTTCTTTTGATTACTATTAACATAAAACATCTTTTCCAATCCTTTTCTATTCAATCTACTACTGTCTATATTTGAAGTACATTTTTTAAATGCAGCATTTATAACTGGGTCTTTTTTATTGTATACAATTCAGGGTTAGGTATACAAATGTTCATTATACAGGTACCCTTGATGAGGTGTGCCCCCTCCCCACCCCCAACCCCAGCAGATTTGCCAATTCACCCCTCCCCCTAGGCAGTTTTGCCAATCCTTTTCTTATAGTATTAAGATAATTGTTCAAGGTCCACTTATGAGTGAGAACATGTAATGCTCAGTTCTTTGTTTCTGTGATAGACCACTCAGTATTACACTGTGATCATTTAATACAAATACTAATATGCTTACGTTTAAATTTACCCTCTTTTTATTTGTTTTTCATTTATCCTATCTCTTCTTTGTTGCCAATTTTCTTCTTTTCTGCCTAATTTGGAAATACATGAATATTTTTGTATTATTTTATTTTAAATTTTGTGTTGGCTTATTAATTGTGACTTTCTGTTATCTTAGTGGTTACTTCAGGATTTACAGCATACATTTTTAAAACACAGTCTGCCAACATGTAACAATATAGCACTTCATGTAAACCCATATTACATGTTATTGTGTCTTAAACAATTATTTTTAAAGAGAATAATAATTTTTTAAAACATATATTTATCCATGTAATTATCATTTTCAGTCCTCTTCTTTCCTTTGTTGAGATTTATATTTCTTGCAAATCAAAACCACATTGAGATACCACCTAATCCCAATAAGAATGACCATCATTAATAAAACAAACAACAACAGGTGCTGGCAAGGATGTGGAGGAAAAGGAATGCTTCTACACTGCTGGTGGGAATGCAAACTAGTGCAACCTCGTTGGAAGACAGTGTGGCGATTTCTGAAAGAACTCATATAACCCAGCAATCCCCTGATTTGGAATATACTCAGAGAACCCAAATCATTCTACAAAAAAGATACCTGGACACACGTTTGTTGCAGCTCTATTCACAATAGCAAAAACATGGAACCAACAATGCTGTCCATTGAGGCTGGACTGGATTTTTAAAAATGTGGTACATATACACAATGGAATATTATACAGACATAAAAAAGGACAAACATATGGACTTCATGGCAACTTGGGTAGATTTAGAGTCGCTCATACTCAGTGATCTATCACAGAAACAAAGAACAGAGTACCATATGTTCTCACTCATAAGGGTACCTTGAACAATTATCATAATACTATAAGAAAGGGATTGTCAGTAGTGGGAAACTGCCGGGGTTGGGGGAGGAGGGGTGGGACTGGTAGTTAAGGGAAACTGCTAGGGGAGGGAGAGGCACAACTCATCAACAAAGGTACCTATGTAATTAACATTTGTATATCTAGCCCTGAATTGTATCCCACATCTTTAAAATAAAAGAAAAAGAGAAAAAGATTTATATTTCTTCTGGTATCATTTTATCCCTGCTTGAAAGATTTTCTTTAATAGTTCATGTAGTAAAAGTCTATTGGTCAAAATTTACTCACATTTTTTATGTCTTAAGATGATTTCCCTTCATTTTTGACACATATTCTTGTTTCATATAGAACTCCGAATTGATTTTTTTTCTTTTAGAACTTTAAAAATAGTATTCTGCTGTCTTCTTACCTGTATTTGCTTCTGTTAAAAATCTGCTGTTAACTCTTAATGCTGATCCTTTATATTTAAAGTATTTTTCCCTGTCTCTTGCTAATTTCTAGATTTTCTTTTTAAAACTTGTTTTGAGTAATTTGATTATAATGTGACATGGTGTAATTTTCTTCTTCTTCTTTTTTTTGGTACCAAAGATTTGCTGAGTTTTTTTTTTTTTTTTAAGTCTGTAGTTTCATAGTTTATATGAAATTTGAAAAATTTTGACTATAATACCTTGAAATATTTTTTCTTCCTCCAAATCATTTATTTGGTTGGAGACCTCAGCTACACATATAGGTGGCCTCCTGAAGTTGTTCAATTCACTGATGCTTTACTCATTTTTATTAATTCTATTTTTTGTGTGTTTCCTGTTGGATTGTTCTTACTGCTACTAAATTCAAGTTCACAAATCATTTACATTTTACAACCTTGACCCATATTATCTTTCTTTATGAGATAGACTGTTGGTTGACTATACAGGAAACTAATCAAAAACAAAATTAACTCCTGGCCATGTCATAGTTCTTTAGAAACTACTAGGTCTTACCCTTATACAGATACTAATGGAGAAAATGTCATGCTCACCAAGGTTCTTCCTAGCACATTATAAACTCTGTCTTCTATCTGTAGCATGTCACAATATGGCTGGAATTCTTCCCTGATTTTCATGTTTTTCAAGCCTGATATCAGAGCCTCCCACCTTCATAATTCAGCAAATATATTGAGTCAAAATTCAATAGAGTATTGCATCCTTTGCCTACCTCTCTCTTCTCACTGATACCGTGGCTTCCTGATGGCCCAGTTTTTGGCTCTTTAGACTCATATGTTTGTCAAGATATGTATTGTGCAGAATTTTTGTCATCTTACTAGATGTTCTTTGCCCAAAACCTTTGCCCAAATTCTTAGCTTCTTGTCAATATCCAGAATCAGCAAATATCCTGCTGTAGTTGCAAAATGTTGCCTCTTCTCTCCACGATTCGTCTTTCTCTACTCTGGCCTTTGTCTACTTGGCCTTTATATTCCTAGTTGCCTAAATAACTCTCTGATGCCTTTAACCAAATCTTTTAATACTTTATTCAATGTTTCTAGTTGTTTCCAGTGGCATCATTTGTCTGCCACAAGCTAATCTATTTTAGTTGAAAGTAGAAGGTTTATTTTCTTATTTTACTTGCTCTCTTCCTAGGTTTTCAAATCTAGTTTTGTTTCCCAGTAGTTAATATCCAAGCTTGGCCTAGCCCTTTGAAGTTTTGCATGTTTAGCTTATAGGAGATATATCCATGCTTGCCTTCAGATGTACTTCAGTTCCATTCTTTGATGTCTATAAGAAGTCCATCAAAACAATTCAGAAGCACAAGGTAAGACTGGTTGTGCATAGTTAATATTGTTTCCTAGTTGATACCCACATTAATATAAAACTTTTCTGAGTCATTTCAAGGTGCTTTTTTCTTTTATGAATGTATGAATAGTCATATCAGAAATATCATTGCAATATTTGTGCCTTTCGAAGAAAGCTGAAACTATGCTCTATATTTTTTATATGTGCAATAATTCCAATAGTGATATGAACATACAAAGGATACTGGAAAAAAAAATAATTAACTGAAAAATGTGCTGTTGAATTTTGATGTAAAATATCTAATATACAAGATTATATTTACCCATCATAATTTTCATTGATCCCAGCAAACTGTACTGGATTACAGTGTATAAAAATTGTGAACCCCAGTGGTATAAGTGATATAGTAGATGTAATCATTATAAATCTCATAAGGGCTTTACAAGACATTTTTAACATGGAAACAATGACACCTCCCAGAAGGTGGCCAAATACACTTCCTGGAAATAAAACAAGTCCTAAAAAAAAAAAAGAAAGAAAGAGAAAAATGCAGTTAAAAATAATCAGAAAACAGTAAAAATATTTCATATATTAATACAATTCCCTCTGCTCTAAACATATAGCAAACATACATTTAAATTAAAAAATAGAGAGAAAACTTAAAGGCATGCTAAATATTGATATTTCAGCAAACCTAAACCTTAAGAGAATACACAAACCTGTGAGTGGCAATGAAATCATAGGTCTACTGAACTTTAGGGTAGTGATGGTGAAGTTCAACTGCTTTGTAGTAATGACATCTAGGACAAACCAGGAGCTTAATCCATGCAAAACAGAAGATGAGAACTATCTTATCAAGCACTATTATCAGCAAGCTCCCTGGATTTATAGCTTATTACAAGAGACATGATTATAGCAGCAAGAATTCAGAGATCTGTTAACAAGAATTGAACCAAGCTACTCATTGGTTCTTTGAATGGATGTGTCAATTTATAATTCCACAACAAAGTGAGACTCCAGAATAGTCATTACATGACATGGTTTTCTATTTAATCATAAGAAAGTAGAAACAGGCAACAAAAAGAAGCAGAAAAATGAGGAGAAGGAGAAAGAGAAGAAATATAGTTAGAAAATAATAAGATAAAATAGCACAGTAAGTTAATACATTGATGCTATCCCCTTTGCTCCAAACATTCCTAGACTTAAATAGGAATATAGAAGAAAAAATAGAATCACAACTGACTCCGAAGAAATACAAAAGATTATTAGAGTTTACTGTGTACATGTATATGGAAACAAACTTGATAACCTAAATGAAATGGAGGACTTTCTGACATCACACAACCTCCCCAGGTTGAAACAAGAAGACATTGAGATACTAATAGACCAATAACAATCCAGGAAGTTGACTCTGTCATAAGAAAACTACCTATGAAAAAAAAGAAGAAAAACCCTAGACCGGATGACTTTCCAGCAGAATTCTACAAAATGAACAAAGAGGAGCTAATATCAATCCTATTGAAAGTATTCCAGGCAATTGAGAAAGATGGAATTCTCCCCAAATCATTTTACGAAGCTAGCATCCCACTGATACCCAATCTGGGTAAAGATACAACCAAAAAAAGAGAACTACAGGCCAATATCCCTTATGAACATAGATACAAAAATCCTCCACAAGATTCTAGCAAATTGGATCCAAAAACACATCTCAAATATCACCCACCATGACCAAGTAGGCCTCATCCCCAGGATGCAGGACTTGTTTAACAATCGCAAGACCATAAATGTAATTACATACATCAACAGATGTAAAAACAAGAACCATATGATTTTATTATTAGATGTAGAAAAAGCTTTTGATAAAATCCAGCATCCCTTCTTGATGAAAACCCTCAAACACCTATGTATAGAAGGAACATACCTCAAAATAGTAAGTGCCATCTACGATAAACCCATTGCTAACAAATTGCTAAATGGGCAGAAACTGGAAACACTTCCCCTGAAAACTGGAACAAGATAAGGCTGCCCACTCTCACTCCTCTTGTTCAACATTGTGTTGGAAGTCCTAGCTAGGGCAATTAGACAAGAGAAGGAAATCAGGGGTATCTAAATAGGAAAAGAGGAAGTCAAGTTATCTCTCTTTGCTGACGATATGATCCTATACCTCGAAAATTCAAAAGAATCTGTAAAAAACCTACTTGTGCTGATAGAGGACTTTTGCAAAATCTCAAGGTAGAAAATAAATGTGCAAAAGACAGTTTTCATTCTTATACACCAACAACAAGCAGGCAGAGAACCAAATAAAAAGCACAATTCCATTCACAATAGCCACACACACAAAAGAAATACCTCAGCATCTTCCTAACCAGAGAAGTGAAAGACCTTTACAATGGGAAGTATAAAACATTGCTCAAAGAAATCTAAGACACAAACAAATGGAAAAAATATTCCATGCTCATGGATAGGAAGAATCAACATTGTTAAGATGTCCATCCTACCAAAGGCAATCTACTGATTCAACTCGATACCCATTAAATTACCAACATCATTCCTCTCAGACCTGGAAATGACAATACAGAAATTCATATGGAAATAGAAATGACCATGAATAGCCAAAACAATCCTTAGCAAAAGGAACAAAGCAGGAGGTATCACACTTCCAGACTTTAAACTGTACTATAATGCTACCATAAACAAAACAGCCTGATATTGGTACAAGAACAGGCATATAGACCAATGAGCAGGATGGAGATTCCAGAAGCAAAGCCTCAATTTTTCAACCAATTCAATTTTGACGAAGCCTCCAACAAAAACCACTGGGAAAAGGAGGCCCTGTTCAGTAAATGGTGCTGGGAAAACTGACTGATCACATTCAGAAGATTGAAACAGCACCCCTACCAATCACCATACACAAAAATTATCTCTAAATAGATCAAAGACCTAAATGTAAAACCTCAAACTATGAGAATCTTAGAATATGCAGAAGACCCCCTTATGGAAATTGGAACTGGCAACCAATTCCTGATCAAAACTTAGGTGCACATATCATAAAAGATAGACAAGTAGGATCTCATCAAACTGATGAGTTTCTGCAAAGCAAAAGAAACCATCAAGAGAGCAGGGAGAAAACCCACAGAATGGGAAAAAATATTTGCCAACTGTATATCTGACAATAACCTAACATCTAGGATCTACAAGGAATTCAAATGCACAGAAAGGAAGAAAATAAACAGTCCCTTTAAAAAAGTGGGCAAAAGACATGAACAGACACTTGTCAAAGGAAGATATACAGGCAGCCAACAGACACATGAAAAAGTGCTCAGCTTCACTCATTATCAGAAAAATGCAAACCAAAACCACATTGAGATACCACCTAACCCCAGTAAGAATGGCCATCATTAATAAAACAAACAACGACAAATGCTGGTGAGGATGCGGAGGAAAAGGAACGCTTCTACAGTGATATTGGGAATGCAACTAGTATAACCTTTTTGGAAGACAGTGTGGTGGTATCTGAAAGAACTAGAAATTGACCTTCCTTATGACCCAGCAATCCACCTGTTGGGAATATACCCAGAGGAACTCAAATCATTCTACATAAAAGATACCTGCACATGCATGTTTGTTGCAGCTCTATTCACAATAGCAAAAACATGGAACCAACCATGCTGTCCATTGAAGCTGGACTGGATAAAAAAATATGGTACACATACTCAGTGGAATATTATGCAGCCATAAAGAAGGACAAACATATGGACTTCATGTCAACTTGGATGGATTTAGAGTTGATCATACTCAGTGATCTATCACAGATAAAAAGAACAGAGTCCATATGTTCTCACTCATAAGCAGACCTTAAACAATTTTCATAACACTATAAGAAAGGGATTGACAGTAGTGGGAAACTGCCAGGGGAGGAGGGGTGGGATTGGCAGTTGAGGGAAACTGCCAGGGGAAGGAGGGGCAAACCCCATCAACAAGGGTACCTGCATAATGAACATTTGTATACCCAACCCTGAATTATACCCCATACCTTTAAAATTTAAAAAAAAAAAAAATTTTAAGGGAAAAATATAAAACAATCAAAATCCCATTAACACTAGATTAAATTATATAAGTGTCTGAAGACTTGAAAATAAATAATTTTAAAATGCTCAACAAGGTAAAAGTGCAATGTTCATAAAAATAAAATGTTTTAGAAAAATAAAACAAAAAAAGAATTAAACAAGCAGATTAAAAAGAACAAGTAACCAACCTGGATATTAAAAATATAATTGTTAAAATAAAAACTCAAATCTCAAGATAATCTTCAGACCACAAACAATGGTAAGTAAATTAATGAATTAGGAAAGAGCATTGTGTGATAAAGAAAAAAAGTGAAAGAATAACCAAAATGAGTATTGTATTTAAAAGACAAGGTGTGCAGTGGAGAAACTGGCAAACAATACCTCAGCCAGGTGGTCAAGGTCAAATTCAAAATTAGTCAGTCATGTGGATAGTGTTTCTTCTTGATATGATGGTAGTTCACCTCTGTGGTCTTCCTTGTAAAACCTATAATTCCAGTCTAATTATAATAAAAGCATCAGACAGTTTTCAGTAGAGCATCTTATAGAATACCTGACCAATACTCCTCAAAACTGTAAGGTCATCAAAAACATGGGAAGACAGAAGTCATTATAGCCAAGAGGAGCCCGAGAAGATATGACATCTAACTGTAGTGGGTATTTGAACACAATCATGAGATATAAAAAAGGACATTAGGTAAAAATTGAAAAAAAATCTGAATAAACTACTGACTTTAGTTAGTAGTAATGTATTAATTTTGGATCATTCATTATAACAAATCTAACATGCTAATGTAAGAGGTTAATAAAAACACAATAGGCAGTATATAGGAAATCTCTTGTACTACCTTCAAAGTATTTCTGTAAATCTAAAGCTGTTCAAAATATAAAGTTTTTAAAAAGATATTCAGTGTAAATAAGAGGCTCCACAAAAAGTTTTATAGCAGTTGTAAAAAAAAGAAAGAAAGAAAGAAAGAAAAAAGACATACCAGAAAAAATATTTGCAAAATTACACTGAGAATAAGAAATTCAGATAATTAATGAAATATTAGCCCTAGGAATAAATATATAGTTTGAAGTAAGGAATAATCAAAAAAAATTAACCTTACAAATGAGAAAACAAGGTAGGAACCCTCCATAACATTAAAAACAAAGCACAAATTGTACAAGCTGCTAGAGAACATATTACTTGCAAAAGAATTACAATTACACTGATATCTAGTTTTTTTTCAAGATAAAATAACTCAGACCAAACATCTAAACACATACACCCACACACACAAAAAAAATTCTGAGGAGTGAAGATAGTAAACTGTCAGTGGATAGTTAATATCTTCTAAACCATCCAAAGGGGGAAGAATGAATTTAAAAAATGAGTCCAATGAGAGAAGACAGGACAATAGGGAGAAAAAGAAACACAATTCAAAAGTAGTGAACAAAAAAATACAAATACA